TCCAAGAAATCTAACATGATTTTGTCCCAGACACATATTAGGATTATCAGCGAGTCTGCCAATGGGAAAGGCGGAACAGAGATCTGGCTTTTGCGGGCTGGGCCGGCCAATCGCGGCAGAGGGTTCGACCATGCGCAGGTGCAGGTTCTACATGCTGATGCTGAAACACTGATCCTGAAGGCCAAGTACAAAGGTACTGATCTCTTGCTGGGTAGTTTCCATGCTCCACATAGTGGACACGATTCTGATAGCATCACAGCCTACTGGAAAAACCTGGCAAGATTGCTGAAGCCTTTCCTGGCTAAGTACCACAATTTTGTCTTTGGATCTGACGCCAACGCCCATTTTGCGGTCCCGTGCGATGGTTGCGTTGGCGATTTTGGCCTTGAAGGAAAGACTAATGTGGGAGGGGAGGCAATGAAAGAGTTTCTCCGAGAAGTCCAAGGTTTTTTGCCCTCGACATTTGAGCACATTCATGAAGGACAACACTATACTTGGCAGAGTAGTGCTAATGGGAGTGTCTCCCGTTGCGACTATATCATTTGTCCTTGCCTGTGGCTACATGCCAATGTCCGTTCCTGGGTTTTGCATACTCTAGATACGACCAAGAGAGCTATTGACCACTGGCCTTTGATGGTGAAAGCCACTTTGACTTGGACAGTACACAAGACTGAGCGACCCAGGCAAGCCTTTTGCAGGCAGAAGCTTGCGAAGGCCACTGATGTTGAGATGAACGAACTTCTTTCAAAGGTGGATGTGCCTGAATGGACTGAAGATATTGATACGCATGCGACAAGACTCTCAGACCAGGTGCACGGACTCCTATGTGACAGTTTTCCAGTCACCAAGGAAGGACCGCGGAAGTCATTCATTTCTGACGAGACCTGGGCCATCCGAAAGGAAAGGATCTGTGCTCGTCGGCAGACACAGGTGCTTCGGAAGCAGATTGCCAGCAGCAGCTTGCATGCTTATTTTGTCTCTTGGGCTCACGGATACTGCCTCCCAAAGACTGTTCTCTTTATGGACCTAATCCGGTTGACCCTGCGAGCCATCAAAACAAAGCAAACTACTGCTGCGTTAACTATGAAGCTGACAAAACGGTTGAAGCAAGATCGTGTTTGTGCATTTGAAACTTTGGCAAAAGAGACTCTCCACTTGAATCAAAAAGAAACCATGCAAGTGTTTCGCTCCATTGGAGTCATCAACAAAAAGAAACCTAATGGTATTCGACCCTTGCCTCTGCTCCTCTCACCGGAGGGACATCCACTGGAGACGGCGGACGAAATCGCACGACATTGGAGAGAGTATTTCCGTGAGCAGGAAGATGGAGTCGTGACGACTTTCAATGCTCTCATTGAAGCAGCTGACCAGAGGACTGAGGAATCAACCCCCAGCCTTGATTGGACTGACCTGCCAAGCCGATACCAATTTGAGGAACAGTTCCACCGCACATCGGCAGGCAAAGCCTTTTTTGCTGATGGCCTACCAGGTGATCTCCTTAAAAAGATGCCTGCGAAGATGTCGGAGATTTTTTACTCGTTGTATCTCAAGGAAGTCATCTACCTTCGAGAGCCGATGCTGCACAAAGGAGGCTTTTTAGTTGCCGCGTTCAAGAAAGGTGACGCCCGTCTTATGAGCAACTACAGATCCCTGTTTGTGAGTAGTGTGGTTGCAAAAGCGCTACACTCAATATACAGGAGAGATTTGGCACGAGCCTTCCAGTCGCAGCGGCTTGACATGCAGGTTGGTGGCCTTCCCAAACAAGGAATCACACAACCTGTACATGTACTTCACCTTTTTCAACAAGCAGCGATCTCCAAGAAGTTCTCGACTGCCTTCTTGTTCATTGACGTGTCCAACGCGTTCTATCGCCTTGTGCGAGAACATATTGTGAGTGATGAGCATGCTCGCAGAGATCCAGAAGCACTCTTCCGTGCTCTTCATCTGCCTTCTGAATGTTATGTTGAGTTTGTCTCGATGCTGAATCAGCCGGCGGCCATCGATGACTCCTCTGCGCCTGACAGATTGAAGATGCTCTTTAAAGAGTTTTATAGGAGTACCTGGTTTGTAGTACGAAACGATTCTGCGGTCGTGCAAACGCGAAGAGGGAGTCGCCCTGGCGATTCCTTTGCTGATCTTTGTTTCAGCTTCGCACTGACTAAGATCTTGCAGTCTGCAGTGTCTGACATCAAAGAGGCCTTTCCGGATCTCACAATTAGCTGGGATGGGCATCATCGGCCACTTGTCTCTGGCCCTGAATGTGTTCGCCTTGACCCATTGATGCCGGTGTGGGCAGATGATGTCGCGATAGCTCTTGAAGACCGAGATGCTTGCCGACTCCTGCAGAAAGCACGAAGAGTTTCCCAGACTGTGCTTGATCGACTGATGGCGGCAGGCCTCCGGCCCAATATGTCTCGTGGAAAGACGGAACTCTTGCTTGAGCTTCGAGGGGCAGGCTCTGTGCAACTTAGAAGACAATTGGCCAACGATGCTCATATTTTACATCTTGAGTCGCCCTATGCCTCCTTTGCCCTCCATGTGGTCGGAGCCTATCGCCACCTTGGCACCTGGCTACAAGTGGGTGGAGGAGTACAGCAAGACGTGTTGACCAGATTTGCAATGGCCCACGATACTCTGACGAGGTTTCGATCGCAGCTTTTTGCCAACCGTGGACTCGGCCTGGAGGAGAAGAGGCACTTTTTTACGAGCCTTGTCATGAGCACCATTGTCTTCAACAGTGCAGCATGGACCCCCAGAAACAAAAGACAAAAGTCCTTAATCGAGCATGCCTTCTTTAGGCTGTATCGACGATTTGCTGTTCTACATTTTGGTAATCGCGCACTTCATTGGAGTTCAGACTGCTTATATCATACTGTTGGACTGCCGCGACCTCTGGTAGTGTTGACGGTGGCTCGATTGAGATATATCCATCAGCTACTTGGTAGTGCGCAGCCGCAAACGTGGGCAATGCTCCAAAGGAACCCACAATGGTACGATCAACTACATGCTGACATTGTCTGGTTCGACCAACTATGCCCTGAAAAAATGCTCCTGACCTCCTTTAAGGATTCTTGGGAGACCTTTGCTCAGGTGGTTGGGGAACACCCAACGAGATGGAAGAACTGGCTGAGAACGGCAGTTGCGAGACATGTCTCATCTCTGCGACTTGAATATGAGTGGCACTGGTGGCACGGAGAGATTATGAAGGAGCTCCTTCTCCAAGGATATCGTTGTCGACGACGCATCGATCTGCTGGACACGAAGCATTTCTGTCTTAAATGTTGCAGGATCTTTGCCAGACGCTCTGACCTTGCTGTTCATTCATTCAAGATCCATCGACAACTCCGTCATGTCAGATTGTTTGTCACCGGAGAACAGTGCGAACACTGTCTCAAGCTGTTTGACCAACATACCAACTTACTCAATCATGTCCATAACAACCCTCCCTGTTTTCTTTTCTATACACACAGGGGGGTTGTTGTTGAAGCACAGCCAGGTGTCAACAGCCGAATTGCCAGGCAGAAACGAGGAGTCCTGCCGATTCCTTACCTACAGGCAGAGGGTCCCCGATGTCTCCCTCCTGCCCCTGCTGAATTTCAGGACCATGAGAGGAGGCTGCTTGTTGATGCTTGGACAGCGACTCTACATCAGCAGACAGATGCTGGCCATTTGTTGGAATCCTTGAGAGTTGCAACTGGCCAGACGTGCCTATATCTCGAAGAGATTGTGGAGACTTTTAGACAATGGTGGGATCGAATGCTGAGTGAGGAGTCCATTTGCCTCTCGTGCCTGACTGTCGGAGACACCTTCCTATACCATGCCTCTGGTGAATGGTTTCTGCCAGGGACTGTACAGATGCCTTCGCAGCATGCGAAAGTTGCAGAATTCTTTTTCCAAGAGGCACAATGTATGCAGGAAGTGAACCTGTCCATCCCGTGTACGGTTCACTATGCGCCACGTGTCTTTGCACACTTGTTCGCCGGAGCGCGACGAGAAGGAGACCTCCAGCAGTTCATTGAAAGTCTTGGAGCTGTGGCAATTTCAATAGACATCATATATGATGTCACATGGGGAGATTTGCTCAAAACTGAGACTTTCCTGCTCTTTGATAGGGCAATCCGTCATGGAACCCTGCGAGGCTTTTTGGCGGGCCCCCCGTGCGAGACATGGACCCGGGCAAGAGCAGTGCTGTCTGAAGTGTACAATGTGCGCCCTGTAAGAAGCAGAGCTCGACCTTTTGGCCTGCAGAGCTTGACACGAAAGGAGAGTGAGCAGGTCCTCATTGGCACCAAGTTGCTTGGAGTGGCCCTACGGCTTTTTGCCACAGCTCTTCTGTATGGCGCTACAGCGGTCATAGAACACCCTTCTGAACCTCATGATATGCCGGAGTATGCGTCGATTTGGCGTCTTCCTCTTGTTCAGTTTTTCCTGCGCTTTCCTCGGTGCAGGTTGATCGATCTCTTTCAAGGGCACTTTGGTGGACTGTCACCAAAACCCACCACGTTTTTGACCGCAAATTGTGATGAGCTTGAAGAGATTTTGATCAAGGGTTGCACTACGCCTCTCCCCAAGGGAGGCTGCATCGGTCGAGATGCAACAGGCGCCTGGAAAACGAACAAACTAAAGGAATACCCACCGGATCTTTGCAAAGCCCTGGCAATAGCCTTTTGTGCAGCCCAGCCTCTCACCGAGACTTCTAGTCCTCTGCCAGAGTGGTTTGAAGAAGCAATCCGCTCGTTACGGGCAGAGTTTGATGAATCAGCCCCGAGGGGGCCTGATTTCTGCCGTGTTGAGAGGCAGGAGCTGAGATCGAATTTAATTAGGAATTAATGCAGCAAAGTCTGCCACGGACGACTCGTCCTCGGCGAATCGGAAAGAAAGAAAGACCCCCGGGTCAACCACCCCAACTGATCGGTAACTAGTCTATAACAGGAGTGTCTGGGAGTCCTTCACTGGGGCCCTCCACGGGGCCGGCCGCGAGTCGAGTCTGAGGAGCGGTCTGACCACAAAACAAGGCTCTGCAAATGGCCAGGGCCTGAGAGAGAGTCGGAGTCTGTCGATGGAGTCCCGTCCCTTCCCGCCGCACGGAAGGCGGCCTCCTAAAACCCACAAAAGAAAGGGGGGTCCGGATCCTGAAAAAATCCCTTCCATGCGCGTTCGGATCGAATCCCCTGGGTTGTTCTTAGCCTTCGAACCGAAAAGAAAAAAAAACAAACACATTCGAGTCGTCTGCGTCAGGAGCACATCGGTGAGGAGGTGTATAGGTGAAGGGTGAGGGGAAGACGATCTTTGCACCTGCACCTGAGGTGTCGGCCATGGCTTCGCTGTATCCTGCTGCGGTCATCTTCTTGAGGACGACCTGAGGCGCAGCAAAACAACATGCGTGCTTCCAAATTGTTGAGAGTGTAGATCGATCTATACATTTTTCAACAGTACAGTCATTTTCAGTAGCCAAAGGATCTGTTATATAAACACATATAAACTATACACATGCAATGCATGATGTTGCTCTTTGCACACAGTATCCAACTCTCTCACGTCCCAGAATTCACGACCGCAACCGGTGTGTCCCCCTTTCACCGAACACGCTCCCTCCGCTCCCGCCGGGCTCCCGGCGCCCGCTTTGCGCAGTTCGAAAGGGCTGAGGCCGGGCAAATTGGCCGACCAGGCCGTGGACACCGCAGAGAGCGCCGCACCCGTTCCTTGGTCATGTGCTTGAAAGAAGATGTGTGTCTTTCATGTTGTAGCACCAAATCAAAGCCGCAGAGAGATCAAAAACGGGTGTCTTCCAATATATTGGGTCTACCAGGGCTTAGTGGATGATGGTGGTTCAGTTGCAGGCCTTTCTCTAGACTAGTGATACTTGTTGATTGACGGTTACAGGTAATAGGACAAACCCAACCTATTATATATCCCAGACACTCCATGTATGCCATATATGCCTACATTGGGATGGTTTGAGGGGTCAATGTAGTAGGTATGCCATATAATATGGCATACATGGAGTGTCTGGGTATATGAGTACTGAACCTGTGATTGTTGAACTGGCTTTGTTGGACAAAGTTGAGGCGCCAGATGCCACAGATCCAACTGCTCCACCAACAGCTCCCAGGGTATCTTCAGCGGATGTGCGAAATGCAGCGAAGGCATCTGCTTCCTCACCTGAACACGCAAAATCATCTCAACAAATTCTGCAAACTTCGCTGAGCAGTGTGGGCTGCTGAGCTCGCCTTCCTCCTTGTTCAGGCCCTTGACCTACAGTGTCAGCAATTCCGGTGAACGCGTTTTTGGAGTGTATCTGATGTACCGCTGGCTGCCAAAACGTGTTCTGTGACAGGGTGCTAAGAAGCAAAACTCCTCGAAGTCTATCAGCCCCGTCTTGTCCTGTCGAAGGAGAAAAACGAGGGCGGAGATTCCAAGGTCGGCTCCACGAGAACGCTTCCTGTGCACGTCTGCCACTTCGTCACCGACTTACTTTCCTGATCCTTCCTATTGATCTCAAAGCCCACGCACCCCACGCACCCTGTGGGTTTCCCAGTCCGGGACTGGCACAGAAAGACCGATCAGTTGAGCTTTTGTTCCGAAAAGGGTCGATGTGGGGCATATACAGAGTAGGTTTGTGAAGGTGTCCAAATATCGCTGACGACGCGTGACGCTGCGTGACTCTGCGTGACGCTGCGTGACTCTGCGTGACGATGCGTGACGCTGCGTGACGATGCAACGATGCGTGACGATGCGTGACGATGCGCGCCGACGCGTGAGAGTGAGTTTTAGTGTGGGTGAGAGTGAGTGTGAGTGAGAGTGAAGGTGGGTGAGTGAGTGCGGGCGGGAGTGGGAGTGAGTGAGAGTGGGAGTGAGTGTGAGTGAGCGAGAGTGGGAGTGAGTGTGAGTGAGGGTGAGTGTGGGAGAGTGAGTGAGAGTGAGAGTGGGAGAATGAGAGTGAGAGCGAGTGAGTGTGAGTTTGAGTGTGAGTGTGAGTGAGTGTGGAGTGTGAGTGTGAGTGTGAGTGTGTGAGTGAGAGTGAGTGTGAGTGAGTCTGTGAGTGAGTGAGAATGAGAGTGAGTGTGGAGTGTGAGTGTGAGTGTGAGTGAGAGTGAGTGTGAATGTGAGTGTGAGTGAAGAGTGAGTGTGAGTGTGAGCGTGTGTGAGTGAGTGAGAGTTGTTCTTTCTTCTCTTGCTTTGAAAGCCGTAAAGATTGATGTAATACGTTCTGCATGCGTCTTCATGCATCTTCGTACCTCTGCATGCGTCTTCATGCGTCTTCGTACCTCTTCATGCGTCTTCATGCGTCTTCGTACCTCTTCATGCGTCTTCATGCGTCTTCGTCGATAATTGGGACCCCTCTATCGCCAACAATGTCATATATTGCTCTCTATATACCTGGAACCCAACTGACCTCTGTTTTGATAGGAAAAGGCCATATTTTGAGTGGTTGGTGGTCCAAAATAGAGGTCATTCAGGTTCTAGGTATATATATCACTTGTATATGTATTCCATGATCGTTTGTGAAGGCCTTTCTTCATGTTCTTTTTTGCCGACTGCTACTGGTAATGGGACACACCCTAATGTATTGCAATAGGTATACCTATATATATTACTATTATGTACATGTAATATCATGTATAATATATATATATACCTGGATTCGAACACCGTGGTCTTTACCAAAGAACCCTTTTTTTGCTAAGGACTTTTACACTACACCACCGGGGCGTTCACATTATTTTTAATGGTCGAACTGAAGGCCAGGGTATATACATATATATACACCCTGGAAGTCCAAGACCACTTTTAAAATGGTTGATCTATGTTGATCGGGTTTTGTAGTGTAGAATCCTCAGTAAAACAGTGGTTGTTTGATGTTGTTTTAGTAACGGCCATTTAACAATATGCTTGTTTTTTGCATGTAAAAAAGTACATTGTTTGACTTCTAGGCCATATCCCAGTCCCAGACAGCTTGTGGAAACGACTTTTTGACTTTTTGCCCCTCTTCGAATCCCATCTTCGCCCCTCCTGGTCTACGATCGCAAAGAGTTCTTCGATGCGCGCGTCGGGCACCTGGCGCGCTTGCGCGAGCCGTTGCGGGGTCACCGTCCGGATCCGTTCGGGCACGACGACGGGACCGATCCATTTCGGGGACGGTTGAGGGTACGAGCGAATGTTAGGAACAACGCCGATCCGGACCGCCGGAGGTGTGTTTTCCGGGGTTGGTTTTCCTCCCTGGGCCCGAGAAGCAAAAACATGTGTGGATGATTGTGGATGGAACTCCGCAGTCCCAAGCACGTGTAAAGGATCTCAAGAGAAGCTATGGAGTGGAACAACCATTATTGGTTCTTGTTGGGGCTGGGTTTCGGGGTGGATCTTCAACTAATTACATGAAAAGTGGGAGAGTTGGGACCCATTTTTGTGTCAAGATGTGAGTGGATGAAGGCATGTGGCATGTCTGGACCCATCACATGCTGCCCAAATCTGCTTCACATCATGGAAGGCCTAGCACGTTTGATCTTTGGTGTCCTCCCCTCCTGATGGCGAAATGTGGCATCGTGAAAGACTTTTTGCCTACAAGCCAGGTTAGGTCCATAAACATCAATGAATGCCGTGCCGTTGTTTTTTCCTTTCGTGGATCTTGAAACGCATCCATGACTGCCAATGTTTGTTCCTTTTATTGTTATGTTTAAATGATAAAGTGAAAACAATCTGCACAGGCGACAATAAGTCACCAAGCGCAGTTCCCGACGGTCTACCTTGCTGCACAGCTCCTAGCCCCCTTGGATGGATGTCCAAATTGAAGGCAAACATAGTTCTCGAAAGCATCCTAGCAATCCTTTAAAGCACAACCAAAAATGAAACTGAAAAGTTAAATTTCAAGGTTCACCCCCTTCCAATTTCATTTTTAAGGGGGTAGGAATGCAATAACAAACGTTCTCCTGTGTAATAATAATAAACCTTTCCAGATCTTAAATACGTCTTTAATTACTTGTAATTAATTTAGAATTTCATCCTATTAAAACTTGTCAAAGGCTTTCATGATCCTAATGTCTGAGGTTATATTATTATTGCGGGTAATTATATATATAGTCATTTTTACGACAAACACAAATTGTTGGGCAACTGCGATGTGAACATTGATTCGTTTAATGGTCTTAGAAGATCTTGGCAAGGTTTTTTGGGTAATTAGCGTGAGAAAGCTTCTTCTACCTCGGCAACTTCGTGCAACCTCCACTTTCGTTGGAAGGGTCATGCGGCTCAGTGAGGGATCATGAGGAAATGTCTAAATCAGTCGGCTCATGTCTCCAGGTAACCGCAGTACACGTTGACCATCCCTCCATGTATTTGGAACGAAAAACGAATACAGTAGCTATAGCATAAACAATCATAAACGCACATGTTAGATGTTGAAGCCTTCCAGCCAATGGTCTAATTTTGCCTTACTGAATGTTTCGGGGTCTCCCGATAAAAAGAACCACGCTTGAATTATACGTATGTTGATTTATGTTGTTTTAACATGCTTTAACCACGGTCCTGGTTGATAGTGAAGGTTAAGAGCGGGGGACACGACTAATCTTTGAGATATTGCTGATACTTGTTGGACTGGAATTTGGTGGGCTCGGGATCACCAAATGAAATGACTTGGAAACTCCAAAACACTCACGAGAACTCTCACGAGACTTATGACATTACCTTTACATTTTAACTAAATAATCTTAACTGAAGTGAAAGCTGTCTGGCAGGCTTGGCAGGTTCATTCGCAGCTCGCGAGGCCTAGCCAATGAATTCATGGAAAGCTTCTGCCAGCGCTGAAGCAGAAGCTTCCGATCGCCCAAAACCGCCCAAAACTCCATCACAAATTGATTCTCACCCATGAAAAGATCACCGGCACAACGCATCACCATCACCAACACCTCCCCATCCACCCGTGGTGTTCGTTCTCGATCGTCTTCGCCGGATCCCGCTCCGCCGGATCCTGCCCGCTGCGCGGCGCACCGGGCGTGTCGCGGCGCGGGATGCTCGTGGAGCCTCCTCACCCATCAAGGGAAGCGCCTCCCGCAGCTCGGAGGATTCAATCCATCCATTTCGGTTCTGCGGGGCGTCGCGAGTCTCGCGGAGGACACGATGTCGACGAGTTCTCGCGTGTTCCCTACCGGCCGAGGTTTGGGATGTTGAGAGGAGCAGAGCGTGGCCATGTTTTTCCAGAAAGAAAAAAAAGGTGTTCCTTTTTGGTATAGCCCAAACGCTCCAAACAGTCCGACCGGTCCCTCAAAACCATTGGGATTTGAGGGTCCGGACCCCTCCATATGAGGGTACAGCCCCTACTTAGCAGGGTCCATGAGCGTCTGGGAGGAAAGGATGGGAAAGGAGCCCGCACCCTTTCCCTGTGTTTTTCCTTTGATGTTTGGCTCCGTTTCGGGGAAGTTTCGAGGAAGGAAAGAGTTCGGAGATGAGGCAAATCAGGCTAGGCAATGCTCAATTCATCTTGCATAGCATAGTATTGTGGACATCAATCACACATCATTTTATGTTCACCAATTGTCCACTTCAGGATACTTCAGGATGTTCTCGCTTACAAAAAAACAGCTCAAAAATATTCACAAATGCTCAATAGGCACACCCAATGACTAAAACAACATACATACTGTTTCTTGTAATTGTAAGCATGACAGTTTCCTGGTCATAGGCTGTGAGTTGTAAGAACACCTTTCTACCCCGCCACCTTCAAAAGGCTGTCCTGTCTGCCCCCCCCCCCCAAAAAAAAAGAACACCGGCCATATGGGGTCTTCCGCCGGTGGAAGACAACCCCCGTTGTTTGGGCCCCGCTCTGCCCGTCCTGGTCAAAGAGGCGGAAGGCCTTGCGAAGGTCTTTGTCTTTCTGTCGAAAGAGAGCCCTGCACAGCGTCGTGGCCTCATCGAAGCATCGAACAAGGGACGGCAGAGACCGGAGACCCACCGGAGGTCGGAGAGAAGAAAGAAAGAACACGAAAAGGTCGGTTGCGTCGAGGGTCGCAGGTTGTAAGGTTCCAGTGACTGAAAAATGGCCTTCATGAGATGAGTCTGCTTCAATGCATACAAAAAACAGAGCCTGCCAGTCTGCTGATCCATTTCTCATGATTCCAGGTGCTGTCGAAACGCCATCTTCAGCAAACTCAAACCTCCTTCAGCCTCTTGATCTTCCCTCAGTGTTTCAAGAAAAGGAATGCCCAAGCTTTGGGCCCACTCGTCACTGTAGCCGGCATTGCGCATTTGTTGCACCACATTCACCGCCTGCCGCACCGGCTCGGAACAGGCGACCCTCCGCCCCTCCGCTCGGCGCTCGGCCGGCCACCCTTGCGGTCTGCCGCGCCTTGACCAAGGTGTTCTGGCCCAAGGCTCGGGACACCACCGAGTACGTGTCCAACCTTCAGCCAGCTTCCAAACCACCCCCTCCAATGCATACAAAACAGAGCCTTCCAGTTAGTTTGTGTTCTTTTTTTGGAAAAGAACGGGAAAAAACGTGTTCAAGTCTCAAACAGGTCCGACCGGACACCTATAGGAGCGGTCAATATCCTGCTTTATCTACATTGATCATAGTTGGAAGGTTCTTTTTTTCGCCGGCATTGGCTTCGAGCGAGCCCGTCAAGACCACACACCCTTAGCGAGACGGCCTGTGCCTGTGCCTCCGAATCAAGCAATCTAGCAAACCTTCTTCCTTTTCAAAAGCTGTGAGGTGCCGGCAGGATCAATGCCTTCTCGATGATCTGGCCGGATTCGTGTTCAGCGGTCAACAAAAGGTGCTGTTCCAAGATGGTGATAGTGATTCCAATCACATCCGGTCGGTGGTGGCTGCACAAATACTAGTCAATGCCAGGCAGTTTATGGGAGTGGAATATTTACCTACATTCATCCTAAATCCATCCTACATCATCTTATAAATCTAGATAAATCCCCCAAATGCAGGCCAATCTTCCATACATGGATTGTTAGGGAATGGGATTCATCCTCCCCACCAGCTACAGTCCTTTGTACAAAGCCACAAACGTCCATCGATGTGGTGTAGGATACTTAGTAAGTGAGGGGGTTCTACTGTGTAAACCCCTCTCTGCTAGGCCCACACCCATCGGTTCGGCTGTTTAGAGACCCAGGTAGAATTCACCACAGCAACCACAAAGTCCCACCGATTTCGTACGATTCGTTTCCGGATGAATGCTGCCTATACCAACAGAGGTTGAAGGACCCTAGCGCCCTAGGGCCCTAGTTCGACTATCCCATACTCCAGGTTACGGGTCCTAGTGCAGGTCACTTCACCTCTCTTGGTAGGTGCCTGTAGGCCTGTAGGCGCCCAGTTCTTGCTCAGCACTGCACTCGCGGGTCGTCCGATCGCTTTTTGCGACCCGGCCTCCCCCTCGGCCTGGTCCTCCCTTCGCAGTCGACCTCGAGGCGTTGAGACTGGCGGCGATGGTTCGATCCCCGACATGTTGCGACCAAAATCCCAGACATGTGGCGCCATGAGATATGAGACTGACCCTCAGGGTCAGTCTCAGTTTGGCACATGCTTTCCTACCATATCCCCTATTGATGGCTTGAACTCTTGGAGCTGAGGTATCCCATCTATGTTTGGGCGCTTGTTGGGGGGTCGGAATAGACATAAGCGAAGTATGCTTTTAAATGGGAATAGCCTCGGAATAGCTGACATATTCTACACCCAGACACGTATGGAATATTTACCTTACTACATGGACCCTTAAGACCAAAGACATCTTGAGATTACGTACAGTAGTCACTAATGGCAAATATTCCATACATGGATTGTTAGGGTAAATTTTGGTCACTATGACCCATTAGTCGGTCTCGAATCTCGATTCGGCCATCTTCTCAAGTGAGTGCGTGCAGTCTTCCAAAGTTGCCGGCACAAAGCGTGATATGCGTCATGACCCAGGGAAGCTTTGACGGTGTGCACGGCCTGCACAACATTGTATAGGAACTGCAACAGCAAAATCAATACACTCCGACAAAAGGAATCGGATTTCACCATCTCGGGCCAAAACAAAACATGGAAGTGGAACCAACCCACATTTGGAAAATAGTTTGCGGGCACAATTGCCATCCACTCATACTATACTGTTTGAACATCTTCATCAAATTGTGCACTCTTTCAGTTGAAGTGTTCATGCCTCGTTCTTCCTCTGTACACCTTTCGACGAAGCGGCCTGCCACCCAACACACATGCAGAAGCTTCAGCAACGCTTCGGTCATAGAAATGTCAGTTTAAGCAGGTTGGAAGCACCAAAAACTCATCGGCCATTGCATTGGTGTCGACTACATCCTTCTCTTCTTCGACGTTAAGCAAAAAACAAGTGCTGCTTCAACAGCTGAGCAATGCTCTACTGCAGTTGATGCTCGGCTGCTTTTCTGTTTTGGACAACAGGAGGGCCACTCGCATGGATTTGCCAAGTGTTACTGGTCACTGTGGTCAGGCAATTCCGACCCGAAGATATCTGCGGTCAGGTTTTTTCGCATGGACCACTTGTGACGTCCCTGACCCATGGAGACGAAACAATATCCAAACATCTCCAAACAATCTATCAATCCTTTAAAATATGCTTTTGGTTGTGTTTGTCAACTTCAGCCTTGGACCAGCAAGAGATGGATGTCCAGCGCGGGTCGTTGCGACCAGGCAATTGCTGTTTGGGAAGCTCCGAAGGATGAGACCGAACGGTTGCTGAGACGCACCGCGTATGCACGCGTCGCAACAGCACCTTTTTGGTCGACTTGGAGGACGCAGAGGTCCCAGACTCTGAAAGGAGTTGCATTGGCCGAACCGCGCAGTGTTTTCAACCACTGCTGGGGGAAAGCTTCGGCAGATGGTGCGGCGAACCATGTGCATTCCCTCAGTTCCATGTGAATCTCCACCGAAGATCTTCCGCTGCACCATTTGCCGATGACCATTCATGAGGCTTGCAACACCGACATGTATGGTTTATGATGGTTTATGTACGGTTTATTCGCGCTGCCTTCAACAGAAACACTTGTTCGTGCAGGGGCAAACAGTGGGGTTACTCATACTCACGCTGAGGACGAGCTGAGGATGCTACTCAAAATCGCAACCCTCATGACTATGCCTACATCTTCGGAACGACTTCCGGCTCTCGCCAGGTCGCTCCGGGCGTCTGCGCCGCCCCTCAAACGAGGGCCGTTTCCTGCGTCTGCGTGGGACCTGGCGAAGGTCGACCGTCGCGGCTCGCATCGTGGGCCATTCGATCACCTCGTGACAGCCAGAAAAATCCATTCGAAAGGAGCGAAGCTGAAGAAGCCCGTGGATTTCGTGTCTCTTAGGACCGAAGAGAGAACCATCCTTCGGCGTCTCCGTCCCTTTGGCGTCTCCGTCCCACCCAGCTCAGAGCAGATATTACTAAACCTATACTAAACCTATACCATCCTTTCTTTAGATGCTTTTGGACTAGATTCAGATTCCAGAGATTACCAAACCATATACTATAATACTATACCCAAAGAATCCCAGATGCATCCCACATCAGACCTGCAGAACAGAACAGTGTGATGATTCAGACCTCCAAACCTCGGTCGGATTCCACTCAAAAATCCATGGCAGCCATGCCCAAAACCATGCCCAACCTCCTCCCCTTCGGGATCCTTGGTCCCGACACCCTTCGCAGGGTTGGGGCCCCCTGCTGTTCACAGGGGGGTTGGGGCCCCTGAAACCCCTTAGTTTTTGAGGGTCCGGAATCCTTAGGGCCGTCGCAATTCTATACGTGAACTTCTTGGACAGTCCCCGGCACCCGGCGCCCGAAGGCCAAGTGCGAGTGGCCGAAACCTGCACGTCTCTCGGTCTTCAGATTCGCCCCGGCGTAACCGGGCCTTCCCAACGGAAGGTCTGCCAATGTCGCGCCGCGGGAAGTGTCCACCGGCAATGGGGCACCGGCAACCTGAGCGAAAACCGTTTGCGTCAGACCAAATCGATGGTTTTTGGAACCGATTAGGGATGGTTATGAGGTGTTACGAGCTCTTTACCCAGAACTTTCAATCACTCATTTTACTCCACCTGATATTTAGTCATAATTTCCACCACTACCATGGGGATAAAAGGAATAATTTTCCTGGACTCTCGGGCTTACAGGCTAAAGTAAACTGGACGAGCCGAATGTTCACACCATAGATTTGGTCCAATCCGACGTGAAATCAAACCATCTCTGTTTCGTCGGAATCGGAGCCCCAGTGGACTGCCAGAAAACCACTTCGATCTTCCAACGACGTGCAGAAGTTATGCCTATTGTTTTCTCTACAGCCAAGTTCCGCAGAATTTCTGCAAAGTTGAAAGATCCAGGTATACCACGTTAAGCATTTTGGGATCAAACATCCACCTGGTTGGTCGGCCCGGTCGGACCCACCCTCCAAATGTTGGTTTCTTTCATGAAGCCCTTAGTGAATCAGGCAAAATGAAAAGGAAAAAATAATCGTTTCTACTGAGGCTTCGTTTTTGGTTTTCCGGCTTCGTTTTTCAAGGAATTGCACCAGTTAGGCTACTATGCTCTGTTTGTTCACCAGGTGAGCTATATTACCACTAGACCTTGACAATGTGAAGTACAGCAAAGGAACTTCTTTAAAACCTACCAATACAGCAAAGGAACTTCTTACAGTACGGGGCATTTGGGGCAGGGTCTACAAAGGACACTTTTTCGTTTGGGGCTTCGTGCTGGCTTCGTTTGGAGACACCACATTTCATGCACTCCAAGAGGTGTGGTTTTCCGGCTTCGTTTTCCAAGGAATGTGCAAGATTCTGCAAGATCCCACCAAAAATGATCAATTTTATACAAAAACCTAGTCGCTAGGATTTTGACTGTGGCTCATGTGTTCTTGGAATATAGAGGACTGGGTGTGTTCAATGTAGAGGAAAATGGTCTTCCCGTGGCCTATGCCATCCCCTTCCATATGTGAGTGGGTCAGAGTGTATTCCAAGTGTCCTTTCAATGCTTTGGAACGCCATTCTGTCATACCCCCACCACAACCATCCCCAAGCCCCCCATCGCTGGCCACGTGGTACATGAAGCAATCTCATCTTTGTAGCCAGATCGACCCACCCCCCAGCACACAATGTTGGCAACGTGATACAGTGATACATGAAACGACCTCTTGATCGATCGAGAACACAGGTTTTAAACAGAATCATCCCCCAAATGCTCTCCGAAACGCAGAGGAATTCCGACGAGAACGAACACAAAAACAAAGATCATGCACACAGAACGCTATCATGATCGTGTTGAAAAGGTGCCCAACACACAATTATTGTCAACATGTTATTTCCTTCGCGAGGATGCAATGTGCAGAAGTGATAAACGCGATGTTCACGATCAATTCTTGAAACATGTATGTGCCTATGCGTGCTCGCCCCGTGGGCTAAAACATGAACACAGTATGTCCGTCATTGTCTTTCAAACACACTCAAGCAAGGTTACAACACAGGTGTTTGCTTCCCCCAGGAAAGGACCCTTGGAGGTGGAAGAAGGCAACAAGTTGAGCCGAGAAGACATCACTCAGCCCGCCCGCGGCCCGCTGCCCGCGGCCCTGGGTCGCTGCTGCCGATCCTGCCGATCGTCTGCTGATCCTGAGCCTCCCGGCGTGGCGTGTTCGAAGGGATTCTGTGGACCGTTCTCCACCTCAGTTAGTAACAAGAAGCTACTAGTAACAAGGGCATCGCTACGAACGGAGCAAGAAGCTACTAGAAGCTCCTGGCCTTGCTACTAGGAACAAGAGCTAGTGCAGCTGCACTCCGTGCAGCTCCAAGGCCGCGCATTCACCGCGCTCCCCGCTGCTCCGAGCAAGGTCGAAGGACCAACATCACGTTCACCCAAGACCAAAATGGTGGACCTGGTACAGTAGTGTGTTGTAATCGTAAATTCTAGTAAGCCCATGTAAACCCAACCATTAAGCTTATGGTGGTTGGAAGCGTAGGGTCAACATGCTTGTTGCATGAAGGCCTGAAAAAAGAGGAGACACACCCATCATGACTGCCGCCACTAGAGCGCCCACAGCAGCAGGAACTCTCGTGACTGTCACATCACCACAAGAAAAAACATGAAACTGACATCACTCTGACTACGAAAACTCATCACCGTCAAATTGATCTTGGCTAGGTCAAATTGTGCTGGTCGTGGGATTCACACCGAGATGAACATTACTGAAACCTCGCCAAGACACATTCGACAATGGAAATCCCGGCGTGCTTTGCACAGATGCCTTCAAGCAGTGCCATTGGTCTCTGTCAGTGTTGTCTTGTACTGAGCTGTTTGACTGCCATGTCCATCCATGCCATCCAAATCGGTCTTCTTCCCCGGCCAAATCGTGTTCGTTCTGTAAAAACCGGCTCTGCCTGGCCGATCTCCCCTGCAACCTGAGATGCATCGAACGGTCCGGGCTTAGTGGGGGCAAGCATGATGAGCGATCTCGAGTGGTGTTCAAAAATGTTCGAAATGGGTGTGTACTCTCCCTGGCAACAACCAGAGGAAGTGGAAAGGGTGTGTACTCCCCCTCTTGGTCTTCGGAAAACCATCAACCCCGGAATCGGGGACTATGGGACCTCTTTGGCCGGCGGGTGCCTCCCATGGTTTCATGGTCTTGGTTTCTAGATGTAGCCTGTAGCCTTACATTGTTTCAAAGAGGGTTTTTCCCAACGAAGTAGATCGGCGCATCACACCCAAAACCACTGCAAATGATTTTTTTTCTGTGTTGCGACAGGTTGGAGAGGTCACTAAGCCGAGGCCAATTCAGCAGCAGTGCAAGAACTGCTTGGGGAAGTGTTGCGCCTGCGTGCGCACCAGCATTCTTGCCAGAGTTCCTGCTCTTTACGGCTTATATACTCCACAGGTTCTTCCAAAAGCTCTTTTTGAGCTTCCTGAAGATCAGTGTCCATAGTCTCCTCCAGCCCTCGACTCACCAAGCTCTCCGACTCCGAGCCGCGGAGTGGGAGCTCCCTTGATTGGAGCTCGGCGATGCAGTCGGACCGGGCTTGCAGCTCGTGACTTGACTCTGCTTCTGCCTTAGCAGCGCGCCAGGCACCCATGACTTGTCGCAGCAAAGAGTCCAAATGTGAGCTAATCAGACTGGAGAGCCCGCAGGGTGTTGCCTTCGGACGATCGAAGGCCACTCCATGCCCTCCTCTTCCAATCCATCGCCACCCCCGGTGCACGGTGATCCGATCGGCGGCCTGGGCGGCTGCTTTCCTTTTGTCCTTTCTTCTCTTGGCTTCTCTTCGCCTTCTCGTTTCTGTTGCTTCTGGGTTGACCGTCGACCCCGCCCTCCGCGGAATGGACCGCTCCACCTCCGATCATCTGCCCCTAAGTAGGTCATGCCACGCCCTCTTCATAGGGTGAGCAAAGGACCTGATAGGCCTCTGCAACAGCCTTGAACATGGTCTCTGCTTCTGACTTGTTGTAAAGGTGTTTGTCCGGGTGCCATGTCAATGCCTTCTTTTTGTAAGCCACTTTAATGTGGGCATCACTGGCATCCAAGCGCACTCCAAGGATGTCGTAGTAGTCCATAGTCAACTTAGTCAAACTTCTATAATATATTTAATGGACAGCACTACTGACTTGAGTCATTGCAAATGAGTTTCATGAAAAGAAAGGTTTCCTTGGTTCACACGACCATGCTATTCCAGTCTGAGTGGAAAACTGAAAAACGATTGAATGGCGAATCCGTGAAAGCCCTCTAGAGCCCCAAAACATATAATCAACCACACTTAGACCGGTCAGCCCGATCATTCCATTCACCCACCCGGGAAACCTCAAAAATCGACCCACTCGTTGAAACACCATGAAGCCGGTACAGAGCTCCGTGTGAACCACTTCATCCTGGGAGGACTCAAAGAAGATGTGCCCCTTGCACCTGAGATCATCTGAGATCAGGGTTGAAGGTGGTGAAAAAGGTGCAGAATATCAGCATGAGCCCTAGAGGTTAAAGATTGTTAAAGTTAAGCCTGATCACTCAGGAAATTGATCTCATATTATACTAATCTTACATTATTTTCAGGCTTTAGCCGTCATCACCTGGACATCTTTGTCCACGTCCGCCGTGCTTTTCTGTGTCAAGTCTTTCCTAAGGTGACGACTGCTCGGGAGATGTGCCGTGCGGCCCATGTTTGGAGCCGGCACAGGCGCTGTTGAGGTGCCCGGGATCTGGACAAAAATCAGGACACTTTCTCCACTGTCTCCAAGTCAGAGGATGAAAAGGACTTCCACAGGACGATGGTGGCATGGTCTCCGGACGAGGCGGACGGCACCTGCCTTGGGATTTCTGGAATAAGTCGTCACCCAGCAAGGCACTGTTCCAGACCTCAAACAACTAAACTTCTACCAGCAGTCACAAAGGGGTGCTTAATGGAGGTTAGGTGTGCCCATTATCCACTCACTTGGGGACCAAACACCACCCCTTTGTGACTCCTGGTAACATCTATTTCACGCACAACGATTCGATCTCGGCGCCCCCAGCGCATCTCGCTCTCCACGTCCTGCCTGGGTTCGGGCAGGCAGTGCACTTGAAGTTTCAAGTTTCACAAATGGGCGTGTAGCCAGGCAATGGCTCCTTGGAAGGAAAAGTTTAAAGAAAAAAAAAGAACAAGGTGTACCCAGCCACGGATCGGGGGTCTCCCTCTCAAAATACACACGATTTATAGTTGTGCAGCAGCTGACGTGCTCCCTCACTCAGCCAGCAGCCTTGGACCATGAACCTTAGGCGGCTGAAGCTTCAAAAAGCTTTGGGCCTGTGCAAAGAGCCCTGCTAAGTGCCACTATACAACAAAATCTAAACTACCCAAACACTGCCCGTGCCGCTGATATGGCCTTAATATGGCTTGATGAACGTAACTACTGATGTGTTTTCATGTGTATTTTTCTGCTTGCCGGCTTCTGTCTGAACCCCTTGCTGCTTTGAAAAGGATTTGAAACACCGGATCGCCCCCGTTAGGAAGGTTCACCGAACTCGTCAGACCATTCTTTTTGTAGTCGACTGGACTCCCAGGGTTTATATAGATGTTATTGGAATTTATTAGACTCTGACTCTCATCTAATTTTACAGCCATATCATATGCATATATGTCTTGCAAATAAAGGTGGGATTGAATTTAAAAAGAATTGTAGATTGATATAGATTCATACATATAGACTTATAGATTCTACTCCCAAACACCTCACTTCTTATCACACTGAAAATGCTCTTGTACGATTTCAGGAGCAATCATCTATAGCCATCAATCACTAGCAATCGGGCACCCGTTCTTGTGTGGCTGCCTGGCCGCGATTCCACAGGCCGATGTGTCCTTCCTTCTCCCAAAACAGGAAGTTCCGGTGGCGATGACCACACCATCACCGGGTGGTTTCGCTGCTCACGCTGCACCGGTGGCGGGAACCCCGGGATCACTGTCCCGGCCAAGGAACTCGCGGACGAGAAGCTCGGGCTCGCATCTCCGAGCCTGGTCGACGCCCCAACCGGGTGGCGGGGCTTTGGTGAATGGACTGGGAGTCTGACAACCCACCACGAAACACCCAAGCAAAGGCAAAAGAAGCACATGATTTGCTCCTTTTATGCTTCGTCCAAGCCACAGTTCGTGCACCACCACGGCAGAGTCAGCCTAGCAGGTGATCTTCAAGAAAGAGTGAGTCTCTGTTACTTGACGAGTTCCATGTCCCGTTTGTTCAGTCGGACAGCATGACGACGGGGCGTGGCCTCAGGGATATGTCCTGGCGATGGTGCAAGCTCAAGAATTGACGCTCAAATACTTGAGGCAATATCCAAGTCTATATGCCCGCAGGGCAGCTGCTCATGGCCATTTATAAGGCAAAGCAAGCAAAATACTTGAGGGATCGGTTTCAGAACCTCCAAAGTGCACGACGTCTTCGTTCGGACAAACATGGATGGCCACATGGATGGCCCTGAAAGGAAGACCGTTTTACGAGTACCAGACAGGGGTTTTCCACTTCCATGTGACTTCCAGGGAGAGTAACTTCAAGGGAATTGCAAAGGTGACAAGTTTGCAATCTGCAGCTTCTGACTTGTCCTGAGGATGAGAAGCTGGTTGATGCATCTGCCAGCCTAGAACTGCCCCCCCCAATTGGATTGTTTCCAAACCCGGCAGAAAAACAGGCTGTTCAGTCATCTTATTTAGCGTGAATGTGATGCTTCCAAATAGCAATGTGATGCAACGTGCTAGTTTGCAAACCTGCGTGAATCTTCTGGCCTCTTAAAGCCTATACATACACTCTGCAGAAAAAGAACAAACACCATACAACACCCACAATATGCATGTTTTGTTGAACCGCATTTAACACACAAAAATCCAGCAAAGACTCGACTCATAGACTACAACAGTACAACAGTTGCGAAGGAGATTCCTTTCCAGTGCCAGTGTCCCAGTCCGCACCACGAACGAAGGTGATTCGTGGTGATATGAAGTGATATGTGTCGATACATCCAGCCAAGTGGGCTGCAAGGAGTCCATAGTATCAGAGCCAAGTAGCTGATCAATCTGAAAGGAGTCTTCGACCTGCACGGAACAAAAAGAAGTAACATGTAATTGTTCCAATTGTTCAATCATGTTCCAACAACCAAATGATATGCACCTCAGCTGCCCCTTCAGCATCTCAGCTCTCCAAGGATTCCAAGCAGGTTTTCTAGTCGGTCACTTTTCAACACCAACAGAGGTGGGTCAGGACCCGAACGTTCAACTATCATAACTATCCCAGTTTGGGTACCCCAGGTAGACCGGGTCCGGTCCCGGTCACTTCACCTACCTCTCTTGCCCGGAGTGACCAGTCGAAGACGACACAGCGACCGAACAGCTGGACGACCGCGCCTGACTCCGACGGCCCAGCGATCGGCTCCGAGGTCCTGCGGGGGGCGTGTTGAATAGAGACGTGTAAAACCTGTGACCTTTATATATGGATTAATCTACTATATGGTAACAGTATGTATAACAACAATATAGAAAAATACTTAGAATATCTTAGAATATCTTATATAGAATATCTTAGAATAAGAAAATATTAGATGGTCTATTTTAAAATGTGTATTAAACATCCTCTGCCTTGGTTTTCCCAGGGCGAAAAGCTCAAGAGAACGGCACTGCGACCAACACAGCGGTTGACACCGGATGTCAGACGGCCGCCTGCGATGGCGAAGGCAGGCGTCTGCTTCTTCCTGAAGGCAACGGTTGAAAACCCGAAAAGACACGGGCATTTCACCCAACCAAAACCAGTCCCAGGATGCATGTGTTTATCGCATAAACGTTCCGTGCGTTGGTCCATTCAAAAGGTCGAATACAAACCTTATCAAATCTTGAAATTCCAACCTCTCAAAAAAGAGGACCTTCAAAGATCCAGTTCCAAGTCAAATTCTTCCAGCCCTCTCGGCTCAATCCCCCTCGGCTTCCCCGGCACGATCTGCTCCCGCTGTCGACCCTCGCCTCGGCGCACTCGCAGCACGCGATAAAACGCGACGCACGCGCCACGCGACGCGACGCCGATGTTTCACTTCACCCGGTACAATCCGAACGGAGAAGCCAGACCCGAACGGTAGGAAGCTCTGGAACCGAACCGGAGCTCTTCCGATTTTGGAAGCAAAACATGGAGTCCGATTGGCCGAGTCATGGCGACAGTCTGCACTAGTCTGCGCCATGGCTTTGGGGTGACATGGGGCTCGGGATTCGGGTGATGACCCTGCCCGCCGGTCCAGTCGAATCACGGACGGCTCGGGTGGTTCGGGACCTCCCGAGGATCCCGATCGACGCATCGACGCATCGGCGTGGCCGGCTCAGGGTCAGGCCAAGCTTGGACTCCTTGAGTCCTTAGCCCGCGCGGTTCCGCGAGGGACCCGGGAGCGTCGTCTGAAACGTCGAAGAACGTCCCAGGCGTCCGAAACGGGTCGGACCCGTTTAGGCCGGTGCCGATCGGACTGAGGCCTGGTCCCTTGCCGGAGGCGGACGTTTGTTGCGCAAGCAGGTGGTCCATCCTCAGCTGAAGCAGGCCATCATTCAGGTGCACGAAGAAGGATCCTCCGTTCAGGGTGACTATCTTGGATTTGCTTAAACCTGGCTGTGCATAACCTTAAGCAAAATCACCTTATAAGCAAACCCGAGAACAAAACCACCTGTTGGAGGGTGCTGGTTCCGAAGGAGACAAAACCTCGGACTTGCTGCGTGCTTTACCACTGAGACAACATTGCCAGACATTTTCAATGGTGTCAATATATAAAATAGGTGGCAAGAGATAGAATCTCCATCAAACATAATAAAACGGCTGGCGCCAGGGTGTTTCCTTTAAATAGAATGCCTGGCGCACGGAGGATCTCCACCACTTCTACATACTTCTACCAAGCGGCTTCACAAACAGCCGCTCCGCATCCTGCGCTGCGTGCTCGAGGCACAACCGGTTTTGGGATCCCCTCGACCAAGGACCAAGAGGGAAGAGGCTGCTTTAACAAAAAACAATAAACCCTACACCTCCAGTCGTACCTCCTCAGTAGGTATTTGGAACCTCCTGTGGCACCCACCCCAGTCTCACCTTCTCAGGTTCGCTACGACTGGAGGCCTAGGGAAAACGTCCTGGCGAAGGCAGCTTTTGAAGACCCACGAGACCCACAGGCCTTGAAAATTGGTGAACTCTATGTTGATTAAGAAAAATGTACTGAAAACATTGAATAGACATTTAAAAATATGAGAATACAATCCTTCATATCCTTCCTTCGACCTCGCAAATTCCCGATTCGCCCCCTTGGGCGTCCTTTCGCCCGCCCATCGCCCTTCCGCAGGCCCCGACGAGGGTCGAAACGGAGGTGAGCTCCTGTGCCAAGGTCGAGGTGGTCCTCGGGGGAAAAGGATCGAAGGTTTGCGGAGCGTGTGTGCTCCGCGCGGGGGGAACACGGCGTGCCGTGTTGCTTTTTTGGTGTTCCATCGTGCCGTGCGGAAGTGGTTGGACTTTTTCAGCACCCAAGATGGTTCAATGAAATTCCACCAACAAGTTCAATTTCTCAAGAACCCTCAGACACGACCCATCTAACCACCCCAAACTATCCAGTTCTGTGCAAAAAGGATCAAACATGTGGTGCTTCATTTCAAACACGAAGCCTGCCCCAAATGGCCATCCCAAACCACCCATGGGACTTGCATATTTACATGGACCCCTACCTGGCCCAGTGTAGCATGGTCTGGGCATGGCGGCATGGGCCACCCTGCCGGTGTTTGGAACGCGCTTCCCACGGCCGAGGCACCGAGTGTCCGCCAGCTCCACCGACTCCCAGGGCTGGAGTCTCCTGGCGGAGGCCGAAGGAGGCCGAAGGAGGCGAGGGTGAAACAGGTGTGGCTGCACCCCCAGGCCACACGTTTCAAACGGGTGATGAAACATCCTGGATTCGTTGAGCGCTGAAGGTTGGGTGAAATATTGGGGTTGGAATGGGTTGGATATGATTGAAGGCGGCACAGTTTCACAACAACTCCAAAGCTTGGGAAGAGCCCATGGGTACTCCCATGGGTACTATGGGTCTAAGACTGGAAAAGAGGGGCCGCAAAGAAAACCTGGAGAAACCCTGCGAAATCCCATCCGGTTCCAAATCTCTATAGATCATTCATCATCCATCTCTCTATCTTGCGTTCCACTTCTTCAGCTGGTCACTCGTGAGAAAAAGGAGCATTCCGGAGGTCGTCACGTGAATTCGCCGGAAACGCTCTGAAAACCAAACTCCCCAAAGCGACTTCATCCGGCTCGAAGTGGGCCGGCTCGCACTCGGCTGCGACGATCTCTCTGACAAAACTCCGAGAAAGCTCCGAGAAGATCCAGTTGGGGTGTGATTGATCTTTAAGGATGACCAAACACCAAGGATTTGGAGGTTTCAACCCCTCGAAATCTTCGGCCCCTGCAAAGGTGGTCCAAGGATTTTGAGGGGATGTGAAATGATGTGAACATCCGTCGGGGGAATCCCTGCTTTGTAGGCATCCCAGCAGTGGGTGTGCCGCGGCGACTCACATTGAACCATATGGAACCTGCTAGGCAAAACCCCAAAACATTTGCTGCCACGGCCGCTTTGGTACTTGGGAAAGATCTTCGCCAAGTCAAATCCGTGGATTCCCCTGCAAAAAGTGCAAGGTCGACGATCATCCTCAGTCGGATCTTCCCACACCTCAAACCTGCACGTGGAAATTGATGTGACATCCTTTCACATCCTTTCACTAGACTCTAGACGCTTCACAGCCAAAAGTGAACAAACCCTGAATGTGCAGCCCTTTTAAATCACTGGACTCCCATTCAAACTCGCCCCAGACGCCCCGCCACGCCCCGCCCCCAAGAAGTGCACCTCATCTCCAGCGCAAAGGTGTCGGGGTTTTGGAGCCGTTTCTCGTGCAGCTCGCGCATCATCTTCAGACGCACCTCAACGGATCGGACCGGCACCAAGCAGCTCGGAGCTCGGAGCTCGGTGGGTCTGGGTCTGGGCGGTGGTTTCGACGAACGACGGAAAGCAACACGAGGGCGTTCGCGAAGGTCCAAGGTGGTGAAAAAATGTTTTCATGTCCTTAAACAAAGCCCCCGCCCACAACCACCACCCACATCACTCGACGTTTAGCTTGCTTAACTCGACGGTTTTTCGTCCTGAAAGATCCTGACTGGTTTAGCTCACGGGTCTTTTTATCCCATGACGTCAACACATGGATTGGATGATGTACTTTGAACGGTTCCAAAAACGATCGACGAAAAGATCTGCCATGGAAACAATGTTTGTCAATTCTACCCGGAGTGTCAAAGTACCTCAGAAAATGGGTGCAAGATAGTGCAAGATGGTGCAAGTACGGTACCTGTTTTTACATGTTTTTACAGGGTCATGTCCCATTTCCAAAATACTTTGGAGGGGTCCAGGTAGCGTGAACTATCCAACACCCACTCCTTTCTTGACTCAGTCATCCGTTCGGCCTCAGTATTTTGCCCAACTGACCTTTCACCCACCGATGGAGCCCTGGAACAAACCATGTTGACCACGCATCCCCACATATCCCAACACGTCAGCATCCAACCTGGGTACCCTCTGAGTGTCCGTCCCGCTCGGTCCCGGCACCCGCCCGCCAGGGACCCGCAGGACCTCCCCTCCGACCGCGTCGGGCGTCCTGCGGGCCTCGAATTGCGGCAAGGTCCAAATCGAGAGGCTCTCGACCTCCCGGCTCCGCGCGCGGAGGCTTTCAGCAGCGCGAAGGGTCCGTGGTGGTCTATATAAGAAGAGGCAAAGAAGAAAAGAGGCGAACGGTCCGTGGTGACTTGAGATCGAAGCCTCGAAGCCTTGCAGAGAAAGGGGGTCTCAAAGCCCGAAGGAAGTCTCAAAGACTGATCAAAAAAAAGAAACAGCAGTTCTTCTGTTTCTAGGTCGTCATCGGATCTCACATGTCCGATTTTAAACCAACCCCTATATGCTTTGAAAATATTTGATAGGTGTACGTACTGTTCCTAAAATCCTGACTTCCACCATACATGTCAATTGCCTCCGACGTTCTGGATCGCTTGATGAGTCTGACACACAAATCAGGAATTGCAAAGTTGTCCTCGGTCGCAAGGCGTGGATCTTGTTTTGCTGGTCACCTGGGGTTGACCCCACGAACTCTGATGGCAATAACCTGCCAAATACGCCACAGCACGCCACAGCTAAGGGTGTTTCATGACCACATGCCGCAGCTGAACCTCTGACTCTCTATCCAACCAAACACACATGGATGATCATAGATGGCGGTGTCCATGTGTCTCCATGTGACCCTGGAAGGGGGTGAATCCACTGGTTAGAAAGCGCCCAGCAGCTCCATATCCATAAAGCATCACCGGAGCAATGGAGGAGAGCTCCAGCTTCAAATTGGAGAGTGGCTTCAATGCGTCAGTGAGAGCATTCGCCTGCCATGCTAAAGATTGGGACACTTCGCATGCTGAAGCTATGGAGACGCGTGAGCCCCTAAAATCATGCGTCCCAAAATCGTTATCACCAAGCAAGCATGTGTATATGCAAATGTAAGTGTCACGAGGTGTTGCCACCTATGCCCGCGAGCCATTTTCCAGTTTTCCAAGCACGGCTTGCTCTTCGGGATGTTCATACAGGTTCTTTGTTTGCCAGGATTCCCGCAAGAGGAAGCCTCAAACCTCCGGAAGCACTGAGAGATGATTCAGTGCACCAAGGTGCAATTTCGAGTTGACAACCCAGCTCTCTTGACTCTCAACATCTCTCAACATATAAGTACCAGTGTTCTCTCACTGCTTTGGGGAATCAACATTGTTTAAAAACAAAAAAGATCCAAAAAGGTCAAAGGTTTATCACTGAAGCGCACTTCTTTTGTTTCGATGAAATCGCTTCTTGGGTTCTAAGAATGTTCATCTCAAAAAGAATCGCCACCCACCAAGACTCTCGACTCCAATATCTTCCTCCGTGGTGTCCGACCACCCCAAACACATCCAAACACCCACCCACCCCATGACCGAGCGCCGGGCCTCGGACACCAAGCGTGCGGCACGTTGGGCCGACCGTAAGAACTGGTCCAGCGATTGAAAGCCAGCGGAGTCCAAGTTCTGACCCTGTAAGACGGACATGTAGTGCAAGGCCACCTGGGTCGTCTCCGGACGCTCCGAAGCCGCGGGCTCGCCGAAGCCGCGGGCTCCGTTTCTGCCAAAGAAAAGAACAACACCAAGAAGTCGGACCCCATGAGTTGGGGATGTGATATTTTAGTGAGACCTTAGTGGGGGGAAGCTCCAAACTTATGGATTCTCGATGTTCTTTCGCAACGAACGCAACACGCATCGCCAGGCCTGCAGCTGATGCGAGGAGTCGGACTCCAAGATCTCTTGCATCATCTTGCTCCGCTCCTTTGGGCCCAAACTCCACCAGGTGGGCAACTTCTGCACGCGCGAGGCACCGCTTCCGACACCACCGGTCGCGAAGCCGCTCGTCTCCAAGCTCACGAAGAAACAGACGGAGCTGCCCAGCACCAGAAAGTCCCCATGAAAGAGTTCTCGTCGCTCGTCGCCGCGCAACCTCGTATGATTCACTTCCACAACCGTGCCTCCGGACATCGCCGGGCGCAGGAAGAGTCGGTCCTCCTCCAGCCAGAGAAAGGCACACTGGGGAGAAATCCCGTTGCTGCGCGGAAGAACAAAGTGACACTCAGGTGCACATCCCAGGCAGTACTCCAAGCCCTTTTCCATGATGGGAAAAAAGCTCTGGCCGCTCGTGTCGGGATCATCGGAGTAACTTGCAAGATGAGGACAACTGGGTCGCCTTTCACGCAGATCCTGACTTGGGCCACTGGAGGAGGACCACGAGTGATGCTCCTTCGGGGATGGGGACGAGTGCTCCCGCGCGGCCACACGAAACTTGGCCAATCCAAGCCTCTTCAATGCCGAATTGCATTGTTCTCTGAGCTGATGGTTCTCTTCAATCTTTTGCTGCCAACTTTCCCGGTACGTCTCCAGCAAGCCATTGGCCACTTCAAGTCGGCTTGAGAGCTCTAGAGAATTGTCGGCGGCCAATTTCTCGCGCAGCTCGTGCAGTTCAGCCTGAAGACCACTAATTAAAGAGTCTTTGTCGATGCGTGTGGCTGGCTTGGCAAAAACCTTGACATTCTTGAGGCTCGCAGCAAAATTCAGGGTTGTGTAGCTCTCCTCTGCATTTGCTTTGGCAGGGCTCAAGGTACAAATCACCGAGGTTTTGGAATTCCCACTCAGCGCTTTGGCCAACAGAAGCGTCAGTTTCGAGTTGCGAAACCTCGCGGTGCTCTCCGCGCCTTTACTGCCCCTCCGATCATCCGAGTCTTCGGAGATGGTACTGGAACGACTGGACATCTTGGAGCGATCGATGCTCGTCCTTTTCTCCACCTTGGAATGTGCTGTTTTGGAACGGACAAAAAGTATCAAAAAATCCCGACCTGACCCCTAAGAGTCCAAGAAACCATGGTTTTAATATGTTTTGATATGTTTGAATGGTCTGAATCCCAATAAACCCTCTGTTTGTTCATTTTATTACTAAGCTTAGGATATTTACACTAATACATGTTTAATTCGTTTAATATTTTGATATATGATTTGGTCTTTGAAGGCTAGGGTTACCCCCGGGCCCAGTAGGCCCAAACCATCCAAAACACGCTCGTGGGGGTTTTGACACCATTCGCGACTGTCGCAACAGTTGCAAATCGGAAGAACCTTTATCCGTTGGTTTAATCCTCAGTTGACCAACCAAAAGTTGTACCTCTTGGATTTGGTATCCTACTACAGTGACACAAGCAAGTTCATGCTCTGCCATGTCTGTGGTAGGCGACCAGCAAATCTATGCAAATGTCCGTATTCCATGTGTGAGGCTTCTCTATGGAGCAGACTCTTAGAACTGCACGGTTGCCTCTTAGAACTGATCCGTTCGGGTTCGACCATCTGTTAGGCCTTCGAATCTGATGACGACCTGCGACCCGGTCGCAGAGTGACCGGACCGAAGGTCCATGTTTGAGACAAAAGGTGACATGCGAACGATGAAGACTCATCATGTTCCAGGGGGTTCCAGGGACTTCCAGGGACTTCCGAACGATGTGTTGGTAGTTTTTCGTCTGCCTGGAGGGCCGCAGTCCCAGCCAGAAACAAATGGATGGGAAGCCAGTCCCAGCCACTTCCCGAATCTGACACTGCCGTATGCGTCCTAAGGTGTCTGGTTGCGACAAAAAGGCCCTCCAGGTGTGTCTTTCCTTTCGAAAAAAGAGGGGAAATAAGACTCACCCTTCCGCGCTCAAGACCAGGCCACTTGGCCCTTGTCACGCTTCACCACGCGACTGCCCTCGTTGGAGTCCGCACTTCCGCGCGGTCCAGTCAACGCGGTCCGCGCCAGCTCCAGGCTGTTCAGTCGGCTCGTCCGACGTGTGCGTTCACCGCCCAAGGCATAGATGCATTGGGAAAGCCACATCAAACTCCGGTTGATGAAGCTCAGTTCCACCAGTCGATCGCCCGAGACCTTGGTGCTGCGCTCATTCTCGCGCCCCGCCAAGTCCACGAAGTACACCTGGCTCCGGGCCGTCCGCACGGTCCGCACAAATTGAGAATGAACAGCACATTGTGAGTCCTTTTCTACCGCACCAACCTGAGTGTCTACGGTAGAGCTACAATACGTAGCTGGGAGAGATGGAACAGCTGAACAAGGAGGCACTCAGTTGAGGAGGCACTAACTCGTTGGCGGCGTACAACTAGTCAACCCACGTCGCTGAGTCGACTATAGTACCTAGTACCTATAGTAGTTGGTATGAGCTCATGACGCGAGTTAAGAACCCACACCGAAAAAGGCCAGGCACCTCGGAGGTCATCACCGTGTTGTCACTGCCGTGCTTCTCCACACTCAGCTTGTACACCGTGTGGCCCCGTGAGGAGCGCGCGTTCATGGCCGTAGGCGCCACCGTCTGCCGGTTGCTGGCCTCGTCGATGAGCTTGAGACAAGCCTCCAAGGAGTGCACCGGCTGATCAAGCACATGTTTCAAGTAGACACCCAGCTGCGGATGCACATGCACTTCTGGAGTCGGAGAAGTCGGAACCGGAGTCTCCGTGAGCAAGTCGCGCACCTTCTCATTGTGAACCTCAACAATTTGCACTCGACATTGCGCATGATTTCCCTGATCTGCCAAGACCTTGACCTGTTGAAAGAGGTCCGCAACCAAGCGCAAGAGAAGCCCCTGCTCTGAGCTCGGCTTGGACTTCCCCAGGATCGTCGTCGTCTTTCCGGTGCCCGTTTGACCGTAGCAGAACAAGCAGGTGCTGTAGCCTTGTAGCGCATGTTCCACCATCTTTTCCGCCATGAGTTGGTAACATCTCTCCTGACTCACAAAGTCCACTGACCTTGCATTGGTACTGTCCATCACGTAGTCAAAGGCGAACTCCTTCGGCGCTTTGCCTACAAAAACAACGCGACATGGGAGAAGAAACGACCTCACGAAATCCAAAGGAGGACATGGCTATGGCTCACAAAACCCCCTGGTCAATGGAAAAACGACTACGCTTCTTTTCACAGAACATCCACGAGGATATTGGAGAGCGGATGGATGGCCACTCTCATGGGTTGGACATGGTTGGACAGTGAGCACGTTGCATTTTCCAACTTCGAGCAGTGGGGTTGTGAAACAACCAAGCCACCTCGGGACCAGGGGGTTGGATGTGTTAGTGTAACACGAGACCAACGGCTTCGTCACGAAGCCACACATTTAAAACATGCTTGCAAGAATGCTTGACAAGGGGTTAATGCGCAGCACTCTACATATATATATAATGAGCGAGTCGTTTAAAGTTTAAAGTGCCACTGTTTTGAATTCTCGGAGATTTGAGATCTCTAGCGTCGGCACAATCGGCCCACAGCTGCGTGGTCACGAAGATCTTCTCACTTTGTGACAAAACTATTTTATGTTGCTGCTTCCGGATACCTTGAGGTTTGCCAAGCACGGTCTAGCAGGGGTCAACCTTCTTCCTTGGAGCTTCCACTTCAGATTGTTGCATCTTTCGCACTGACCCACCTCGTTGCGAGGATGGCCACTGACGGAGAAAAAAAAATAAGCACCCGGTCAGCACGCCGGAAGACCTCTGGCTGCGCGAGCGTGCATGTCACATGCTCTTTCTGTAAGCATCTCTCCACAGAAAACGCACATCAAAGCTGTCGCCTCGGTCTCCCCCAGGGCCGAACATCAGCAAAACGAGTCCAAAAAAGCGAAGAGGCTGCTAAACGAGTCCGCCGCAAGCGCAACTTCGGCTATTTCAACGTCGTGCTGTTGGTCATCACAACATATGTGACAACTTGGCCCCACCATTTTGAGTTTTGATGCATGATGCAGCATCATCTTTCTTAGTAGCAGCTGAACAGTGATTCACACGCAAAACCCTCACCGTCGCTAACGACGCCGTGAGCACAAACAAGCCTTAATGCCGATCCCATTGCCAAAAAGTGTCATTGAACATTGGTTGGAATGTTCCTCAACGGTTTACATCTTGTGGATGTTTATAAATTCATAAGTTAATCTATTGTACAAACTACAAAGAACTAGAGCACTACGTGATGCGGCCAATTCTTTCCAGTGTCCCAACGATGTCCCCAAGCTCCAAGGTCTCTCAAGAATCCACCCGAGAGCCCCCAAAACCTTCCTTGAAAAAGGTCGCAACCTTTCAGTCTCCGTCAATCTCCCGCCTCCATCGTCGATCATGATGACATTATCACCTCGTTCGATCAAAAAAGCCGCGGAACGTCCACCCCCCCAACGGTCGGACCGGCCCAGTGCCTTCCAAACGACTTCGCCGGAACGACACGTCACTTGGTTCGACGCCGGTGCAGCGGTGGGGATGCTCCCATGGATCATGAGCGTGGAAACGGGATCGAAAGTGCTAACATGTTCAAATCAGGTCGAACACCTGGTCGATCTACGGAAAGCTCTTTTTGAGGGCTGCAGATTAGATGTTCTTGAGAGGTGGCCTACATCATACCAGGGTGTTTGCTCCGAAAAAGTAATTGCAAAAGTTGTCCTTGGCAAATGGAGCCAGGAATTGAGTCTCCAGAAGCTGAATAGTCAAGAAGAATAACTTATTATAGGTATATTCTGTTCAGAGTTGATGCATTGAAACCGAACTGTTCAACGTGATTTTCACCTCAGTTTCAACATGGTTCCACCATGTTCAACCATCCTCACAGGCCAGTCACGGACTTTCAAACAGTGTGATTGGCCCGCTTCGCAGGGCACCAGTGGTCGCAAACGCACGCCGATTCGAATAGCTTCACTCGGATCCATGATCGCACATAAGCAGCTCGCAGCTCTGCTGTCTTATTCGACATGATTGATCATTCTGGCCAAATAAGGCGCAATAGCACTTTATGGACTCATGGACTATAGCATGGACTATTAGATGCTCCCCGATGACTACCAAGGAGCTCCTCCGTGTCTGTGACCACTATTTTGTACGGCTTCTGAAAGTCATGGATCGCCAAAGGCACATCTGCTCACTTCTCTACCATGAGATATCAGGCGCTCATGCCATTCGTATTCTTTTAGTGTATCAAAGCGTTTTTGGCAATTCATACTCCCTCAAAGCATGAAACATGTTTGCATAAATGGATTTGATCTTGGATTGCTGCGGATGCCCACTCAAACATACACCAGCTGTCCGCTCCCATTCGATTAAGAATTAAGACCGACCTTCTTTCATGAACAGAAGGATTTTGCTACATTTGATCAGCTAAGTCACACCAGCAACACCTAGCTGCTTGAAGATCTCTACATGCTCTTGCTTGACTCAGGCACCTTTTGGCTTTCAAGCCTGAAGCTTCTCTCGATGGCTTCATGGGCAGCTTGCACAGCACGCGCAAGGTCTGGATCCTGTGAGAGGTGCTGCAGCTGGTTGCGCAGCTGGCTGCTGAAAGACGCACTTCTTGTCTGCTCGCAAAGCAGTGCTAAAAGCTCCAAAGCCGCCAGTTTCATCTCTTTTGCTGGATCTCGCAGGAGTTTCAGCAATGGGTGTAGCACAAGACCCAGCTGATTCTTCACATCCTCAATGCTTCCCACGTCATGTGCCTCCAAGTCATCTGTCCTCATCTCTTCAGACATCGCCGAAAGAAAATGAAGCAAGTTGCGAAGTCCAATGGCCGCAGCCATGCGAACTGGCCAGTCCACATCTTCTAAACGCACCGAGATCATCTCAAAAGCTCGTGCCACTGTGGCGCCAGTGCCTCCTTGTGCGAGCCAGGCCACGGCATCGATCGCAGCCCAGCGCACGGGCCACGCGCGGTCGGCGAAGCCTGATGGCTGAGGGAGGTTTCAAAGGCTGAATCGTCCGAAGGGGATTCACCCACTGCCCAGACGCTCCGTGAAACCAGCCCGACTGGTCCCTCCAAACCTAGAGAATTGAGACCCCAGACCCCTCCATATGAGGGCCCATCAGCGTCTGGGTGAGAGAAAATTCATAAAATATCAAGAATCGCCAAATATCTCGTCTGCCAAAATGTGCTGTCAAGTAGAGGACGTGACATGATTCAGCAAGGTAATCGCTGCTATTGAAGGGGGCCTATCGCTTTTGCAGGTTTTAGCCACAATGTCAACAGAACTGATCACATCCAAAAAGTGCGGAAATATGATCTGGTTTTCGCGCATGTTATCGCTTTTGAGGGGGGCCTATCGCTTTCGCAGGTCTGGCCAAGTTCCTGAACATCCCGACCGCTCAAGTCACGAACTTGGTCATTGCACGTTTTGCTCAAATCACCCCAACAGAGCTTGAAGAACCCTACTATCCCATAGGTACCCCAGGTGACGGGAGTCTCTCTTTACGGTCACTTCCTTCGCCTCAAATGCCCCAAGTCCTCCGCCACTCTCTTGCGCGCCGGGCCACGCTCCGCGGCGCGCTGCAGCGCCGAGGCATCGCCGGGAGCGGCCAGATGCGCCAGGGTGCGCAGAGCCACGCGGCGCACGTCCACGCAGGGGTCCTGCCGTCGTGGGCGGAGGGGGCCGTGCCCCGGAGGAACACCGTGTGCCGTGGCGTGCCCGGGCGGGGGGATTGACGGCTCCAAAGAGATGGGGGGCTCACTCAAGACGTCTCAAAAACAATGCCAAACCCTATATGGATTGGGTCTATATTTATATATATATATATATATCCTAATACGAGTGCACCATGGGGCCTGGTTGGCCGAAATCTCTCAAACATGCTCCCTTTTGCCTCGTACATTAGTCCCGACCCTTGTAGGTGTAAGTCCCGGAGAGACGTCAACCTGTTGCCTATGGGAACCCTGTGGCCTGATCGATCCATGCGACACCCGCCCCTCTAGGGCCCGGGACTGGGGGGCTGACTGCTGGGGTGAAGAGGTAGGGCAGGGGCCGACGGACGATGAATTCCCTGCAAGTCCAAGACTATGTTTAAAACGGTTGAGCTGTGTTCGTAGTGTAAAAGCCTTAGTAAAACAATGGTGGTTCGGTAAAAGATTTATTAAAAACAAGCTCACAAGTGGTTCGAAGGTGAGGGAATCAAACCCTTGTTCCCAATTTTTTGGGGTTCCCAAGTTGCTTGGTCTTTGGTGAAAGGACATCTCCTCCAAGCTCTTCAAAGCAGCTGCCATGGCTGCATCAGCACTCTCTCTGTCCTCCTGTTGAGAGGCATCTCAAATGGTCAAGTATAGGCGAGCAATTCCAAAAGCAACGTCCTGTGTCGAAAGTTGGGCCATCCAAATGAGTTCGAACCTTCCGCTCTGTCCTCTGCTCGGCTTGTGGCGAGTGCAGAAACGGCCTCAGTCAAACATCGTGCAGCTCAAGCCATCAAATCAATCCTCAAGCCTAGGCTGAGAGCATGGCAGCAGCCCTGACTTGTGCATCTTCGCTTGCCAAACGATTGCAGCAGCCACTCAGCAAACGTGGTCCTGCCTGCAATCGCAGCAACAACATCCTCGAAAGCAGAAAACACAACTCTTTGGGGTGACAACACATGTACCTGTCCACGATATAATCGTTCTTCATTCCAAACACGAGTACTGGCAGGATGCTAAATCAGACGAAAAAACAAAGAAATGCTGGTGATGGCACGCTCCATAACCAGCACTGTTAGCATTGCAAATTCATGCAAATTCAATGTTTGTCGAACCATGTGGAAGAATCAACAGCAACGAACAATGGCATTCTGGTTCATGAGTCATGAGGATTAAATCCTCACTCGGTTCCATGAATTGACACATCTTTTCCAATATGTTTTCTGTTACACTAGTTCCCTTCTTGCAATTCAACATGATGAAAACTGGAATCTATTGGCAAAAACGGTATCTTGAGCGATATTGGCACCCATTGTACTTTCCTGTGTCTTGCCAAAACCACACCATGCGTCACACCAAATCTTTTTGCACGACCAACGTGGTCACTCTTCACCTTGTCTCTCCAAGCTTGATTGCACGCCCGGAGCACCAGCAATTGCCTGCGAACGCTCAGATTCAACCAAAACGGCACAAGCAAACGCGCGTAACTTGATCAGAACCAATACTTTACTTGCTGGAAGTGACATGGTCCGTGGAAAACCCCGAAAATGGTCTTCCAATGGGCCATTGGCCTCTTCCATTTTAGTTCCACAATTGTAACAGCCAAGGATTTGATCATGCGCTAATCACTCGCCGCTGATTTTGGGCTCGCACTGGAACGAAGGGTGAAACTGCGTGTCCGCAGAAAAACACCAGGTGAGAATACGCACCAATGGAAGAATTACCTCAAACATTGACCCAGAATTCCAACCTCCTGATAAGTCTCATCAAAAGAACATCAATCCTTCATCTGTCTTGTCTTGTCTTCATCTAATATTTTTTGTGAATGATCACTCTTTGGATTGCAGTCTCTTCCCCGGTCGGCTCGTTGGCAGAGGAGTGCGCTCGGCGGCGAGCCAGTCCTGGCGGTTTGGATGTAGCGGATCAAACGTTTGTTGGTCACTGCAGGGTGATCTGATCTTCACGGCCCGGCCCGGCAGCACTGCAGTTCTCCTTCGAACTCCGAAGTCATGTGAGATCCACTGTTCTTTCCCGATCGCACGAAAAAAAAAGGCCTGGGAGGCCCTCGGCGACTCGGCCCTCGGCCCAATGATTCTCTCATAGACATCTTCGATTCTCCACGAGCGTTGCTGTAACTGTTTGCTCTCTCCATGGTTTCGTGGGAGCGATGCCCGGACCCAGACGTCGGGGTCTTCCGGACAAGTCGGTAGGTCCCCGGGTAGGTCGCGAAAACCACCTGCCGGCAGGACCGTTGGTGTACCGCTGTATAGTATTTTTCTGGTAACCCCCCTTTCGGTCACCCTGGGTCAGACTTCGAGACGCAGCGCTTTCCGTCGGTCGTCATGGAGTTTGTGTTGCTCGATGATGCAAGTGATGCTTTTCACAGGTGCAGCTTGCATCGTTTGCATCACCAACTACCAACTCACCTTAAATTATCTTCGCCAAAAAGTAAAAGCACCTGCCAGCTAAGCGATTTCGGCACACATAAGTCGCATCTGACGATGCCCCCTGATTTTCACTTCATTCGCATAAACCAACTTCAGCCCAGCTTATCGGCTGGCTTTCGTAACATTGATTTGTTTCCTGCTATGGAGTCTCTGACGCACCATGCACGATGCGGATGTCCGCGATCTGGCGGTCTGCCCTGCCTTCTTCATGATCCAATAGACCACGCTGAGAGGCAGGTAGAATTGGCCATACACAATGATTTCCTGCAAGTGCAAGACATCAATCAAACTTCGGATCAAACTGAGCGTCTACGGCCAAGAGAAAACCCTTCGTGCACACATTCGGTTCTCTGACCTCCGCACGTTTAACGAACCCCTGTCCAGTCCGACAAGGCCTCATGGCTACAGTATTTATTGGCTCATGTAAAATTACTGAATCATGTCTTGGGGGTGTTGGCCACTGCTCATCCGGCTCCCGCCTCACCCAGGGACTCTGAGATGAGATGGTTCATCAGTGACACCAAGATCAAACAAAGCAAAGAGCAGCACATCACCTAAGTAGCAAAAATAACGACCAGGACTGAGCAGGACTGGCTGGCCGCATACAAAGCGCGGTGCCGGCGGGTGCCGGCGGTGCCTTCAAACCAATTTTGACCTCTCCACTTCAACAAGCAAAGGCAATGTGTTGAACACCCAAACCATCCCAAACCTCCCAACCCACCCGATCAGGTCTGACTGGCCCGTCTTAGGGTGACCCTGGTACTGCCTGGTACGTCCAAACCCGCCTGCCACGTGGCCCGCGACGACGCTTCGGATCCGACGACGCCCGCGGTTCGGCCGTAAGGAGCGGACGAGGAACAGGTAAACCTCGGGCCGCGCCGCGGCCGCGCCGCGGTCGCGCCGCGGGGAGGACCGATGTGAAAACCAAGGAAGGTGGACCTGTGCGACCTCAGGGACCTGTTCGAGCAGATGAATCAAATTTCATATACCTCCTTCGGAAGACATGGATTGAACAACCTCTTCAGGATTCTTCAGGCCTGGGGGGGTGTATCAATCAAGAGATCGACCTCCGGCACGAAATCGGTAATTCTTGGACTCAATCTGGGCGATCATCTTCAGTTTGGTTTTGCCACTTTGGACTCTTCTTTCATCCCATGTTCTTCCCACCTCTTCCGGATCGTCCATTTCATCACCGCCCACACACCGCCTCCCCCAACACTGGCTTCCAACACCGGTCACACTCTCAAAGCGCCCGGACTGGCAGGACCAACTTCACCGCCTCCCACAGCTCCTCTGCAAAGAGCTTTGGTCCGTAATGCCTCGGTCTCCACACGGTCCGAACACGTCTGCGGACAGCGCCAGGGACCCCAACAGCGCAGCGCAGCTTGGCGCACAGCGCAGCCACCAGCCCAGCGATCGACAGGTGGGGACAAACCAACGAAGCGCCGGCGTCGGGGGAAAGCGTCGACAGCAAACCGTGGAACGGAAGACGGGGACATGGTTGTCTCTCACCTCCAAGACAATAAGAAACGTCATCTGAGGGATAGGCGGGAGGGCAGGGGCCAAATGGGGCCCGGTGACTTGGGGAAACACCGGTGACCTTGCAGCTCCAGGAACCTCCCGTGTGATTTCCACCATGAGCACAGACGGCCGGTTCACGCGAGCTTTCGAAGCTTTCTCCGCCATGGGATGTTGCGGATGTCCACTCTTTTTGTACGTACCACTGTCGTTCTTCGCCATGGGTTAGAAGGAAGATTCGGGGATCCTTTCTCTCCTTTTTGGCGTCGCAGTCACCGACTCGGCCAACAGACTCGGAAACTGTGCAGTTTCCAAAGACCCCAAACTGGACACAATGCGTTCGGGGTCGCCAACCTTATTATGTAGATGATCTTTTTTCCCGAAAGCATTGCGAAGGATTCTTCCGGAAAATCTCTTGAACACTGACACTTCTACACTTACACTTGAACACTTACGCTTCCACACTTACACTTGAACACTTACACTTCTATACGCACAATGGCACAGAAGTATCCAAGTGTGTACGTGCGAGTATCCCAGTGTAAGTGTAAGAGTGAAAGCATCCAAGGGCAAGTATGCAAGTGTCAGTGTAAGTATCTAAGTGCAAAAGTATGCAAGTGTAATGTAAGTATCCCAGTGCAATCCCAGTGCAAGTATGCAAGTGTGAGTATTGAAAACTTTCACGGGAGATGCCCTAATGAAAAGCATTTCCCACTTTATAAAGTCTCTTTTAAAGGCGGAGGGTGGGACGAACAGCGTCAACCGAAAATGCAACCCTCTGCGGAGATCGTGCGTGTCGAGGGAACGAAATGCAGGCGAGAGTGCGATTTGTCCAGTCCGCGCGCAACCCTCTGCGGAGATCGCGCGTGTCGAGTGCGCGAAATGCAGGCGAGAGTGCGATTTGTCCCTGCGCGCGCAACCCTCTGCGGAGATCGTGCGCGTCGAGTGCGCGAAATGCAGGCGAGAGTGCGATTTGTCCGGTGCGCGCGCAACCCTCTGCGGAGATCGTGCGGGTCGAGCGCGCGAAATGCAGGCAAGAGTGCGATTTGTTCCCTGTGCGCGCAACCCTCTGCGGAGATCGTGCGTGTCGAGTGCGCGAATCTGCGGAGATCGTGCGGGTCGAGCGCGCGAAATGCAGGCGAGAGTGCGACTTGTCCGGTGCGCGCGCAACCATCTGCGAAGATCGTGCGTGTCGAGTGCGCGAAATGCAGACGAGAGGGCGTATCTGGGGAGCTGGAAGCTGAGAACTGGCGACTTGGTAGTACAACTTGAGTACGCGGAGTATCTGGGGAGCTGGAAGATGAGAACTGGCGACTTTGTAGTACAACTGTAGTACGCGGAGTAGCCGGGGAGCTGGAAGATGAGACCTGGCGACTCTGTAGTACAACTGGAGGATGCGGAGTCGCGGAGTAGCTGGGGAGCTGGAAGAGGAGAACTGGCGACTTGGTAGTACAACTGGAGTACGCGGAGTAGCTGGGGAGCTGGAAGATGAGAACTGGCGACTCTGTAGTGCAACTCTAGTACGTGGAGTACCTGGGGACTTGGAAGATGAGAACTAGTGACCTGGTAGTGCAAGTTTAGTACGCGGAGATCTGGGGAGCTGGAAGATGAGAACTGGCGACTGTGTAGGACTGGGGGGGTTGGGAGGCCTGCGCGCTACTTGGTTCACTATATCTAGTGAAGACCTTCACCATTTCCCCTTACCAGCAGCAGACATACACTCTGACACTGGTTTTCAGTTAAACTCAATTTCTCCGATGGGAAGGAAAGGTGATGGAACTGCATGGTGGAGAGTCTGAAAGACTTGTAGGTGTTTCAACAGGTTGTTGGTCAGTCTGCAGAACGATCGGTCGGCGCGGCTCAGCTGCAGGACAACGCGGCAAAAGGAGGGTTTAGGGGAAGTACCATGCAAACGACCATGAATCAAAAAGAGGAAAATTGGAGTAACAGCTTGTGGAGAAAACGAGCAGGTACGCAGGGCTGATCAGGCCCCGCTTCCCACTCTCGCCCCCAGCTTCGTTGCGTGTGGTAGGGCGAGAGTGCCACACGCCCCTGCCTGTGTAAAGTGGAACGAGTGGTGGTGAAAGACCCTTTGTCCAGGGTTGGACACACACAGATCGCCGCATTCGGCGCTTTTTCAAAAACCGGTGGCAGGCGTGGTAATTATGCCCCTTTTGGACATAAAGGTTCACGAGTTCAGCCGCAGCAGCTTCAGCGCTGGAGGGTGGAAATGTGTATTTTCGAATGGTGTGGAGTCGTGATTGGAGGCCTGATAGAGCCAAGCGCTGGCTCCCGGCGGTTGTGGAATCCCGGATTTTCCAGGGTTGAGAAGGTTGCATGTAGGTGATAGTGCGTTGTGGGAGGTCGATGTTGAAACCGAGGAGATGAAAATCCTCCACCGGTTCGAGTTCCACAGGGTCGCCAAAGAAATTGTGGTGGATGAGGGTTTGGATAGCCGGGTGCTGAAGGAAATGTTCGTTGTGGACAATGAAGCGGTTGTCAACATAGCGATAGTAAGTAAAGTGGAGGTCTGTGTGTTGAAGGAGGTTGTTGTGTATCTGATGCCAGGAGTGCTCAATGAGGGTGATAGCAACGTTGCAAAGGGCTGGAGAAAGCTGGGATCCAATCCCGGCCCCTCGGATTTGTTTGTATGTGTTGTTGCAAGCCCGGAAAATGCATGTGTCGAGGGCAAAAGCCACAATGGTGGTGATGTCGGAAGTCTGGATGGTGCGTTGGGTGGGGTGTTTGCGATGGTGTCTGCCAATGTGGGAGTGGTGGAAAGGATTGCCGGTGGCCTGGACATCCACCGTTAAGGTGTGTGTGGATTGCTGTTGTTGCCAGTGGAGAACAAGGGAGTGGACTGCATCGAGGAGTCGGTGCTGGGGAACGGAGTTGAAAAAGCCGACTAGGTCATCGTTGGTGGCGTGTAGTGAGATGTCGGGTGGGGTTTGGGTGAGGTAACTGTGAAAGTGGTGCCAAAGCTGAGGAATGGACATTTGGCCTGGATGCTGAGGGTAGAGGTGTTGGAGGATAATGTCGAGGGCACGGCTGGTGATGCGTAGCAAGTTGCCGCTTAGTGATTGGAAGTAGGATATGATTGTACGGCCTTTTTGCCAATGCTTCTTCTCTTTAAGGTGGACAACACCGTAGGGGATGTTGAAATCTTTTCGGAAGCCCCACTTGTAGCGGGTGCGCAGGATGGGGGGGACGGTGGCGGCCAGGTGGTCATGGATGTTGGCGGTAGTGATGTAGGGAAGTGGTTCAAAAAGTTCGGGGGATCGCCAGGTGTTCAAGGCGCCAGTGAAGTATTGGCGAGGGCAAAACAATCGCAGTTGTTGGAGCTCGTGATCGGCATGGTGGAGTAAAGTGTGTTTACCCAAATGTTCTTGGAGTTGACGAAGCAGGCGGGCCGTAAAACGGGGTTGCTGCTTGAGGTGTGTGTTGTGAAGGCGCCATTGGTGCTCAAGGAAAGGCTGTAGGTGTTGAACTAGGGATGGTGGGAGCCCTTGTAGTTTGAGCCATTTGGTGTAGGCCGTCTTGAAAATGAGGAAGTAACGAGCTTTGCTTGGGTAGTAGGTACTGTTCATATTGGCGTTGAGGAAAATGCTGAGGTGTGTAGGGAGTTGAAGTTGGTCAAGTGTAAGGATGTAGTGGCCGTTGATGGTAGGGGTATCGGGATCCTGCAGGAGGGTGCGGAGGTGATCGCATGCACAGGGGAGGTCTGCTGGATCTGGCGGGGAGTGGAGGGTGTCCTCCCATGTGCGATGGTTGTGCAGGTGGGAGCGGAGGGTTTTGTGGGCGGCTTCCCTCAGTCTGTGGGAGGGGAGGTGGAGGGGAATGGTGAAATGCTTGTGCTGCTGGATGGTAGTACGAAGCCATTGTTGGCAGTGCTTGGTAAAGTCGTCATGGGCCAAGAAGGGCACTGTCAATGGGATGTTGGGTTTTGGTGGCGTGAGGTTGCGGTAGATCAAGGCTTTGTTGAGGATGTGAAGAGCTCGGCTGCGGCCAGGTTCTTCCAAGTTTGCGGCCATACGCCGGATTGCATATACCTCGAGGTCCGTGTGGCGGCCGCTTCTTAGCTGTTTTGCTGCCTCAAAAGAGGCTGCGGTGTGTTTGGTGAGGTTGCGAAGAAGTTGGAGAGCGTGATGCTTAGTGGAAGTGTAGAGGTGTGGTTCTCTGAGGGTGTACTGGCGTTGTCGAAGGCGTCGGAAAAGTCGCTTGTGGGTGGCTAATCTGGAGTAGAAGTGGGCTCTGTGTTTCGCGAACTGCCATCCCTGAGCTTTGAGTTTGAGGTGGTGGGAAATGAAAGGCCAGTTGAGTGAAGGCATCCAGTTGGCGATGTAGTGGTGCTCTTGGATCCAGGCTTGGTCGTATGTGTCATGGGAGGTGAGTTGAATAGTGGTGTAGTGGTGGATGTTGTTGTGTGAATGCCAATAACGTAAGGAGAGTTCTGCAGAAATGGGAATGTTATTTTGGAGTTGTTTTAGTTTGGCGCGGCGATTGTGCTCGCGGTGGGGGATGCCGATAGCTGTGGAGCCAACGTAGAAGTGGCCATGTTGATGGTAGCAGCGTTGGGGCTGGTCGGGATTGAAGTGGAGCTTGAGGTAGACGGAATTGGAAGAGAGGAAGTTGTGGTAGTGGTAGGTGTGGGGTAAAATGTGGAGCTGGCGGAGACGGTTGCGCCATTGTTGTGAGCGACGGGTGTTGGACGGGTATGCGAAAAGGAGGGTGATGTGGATGAGGCCGGTTGCAAAGATGGCCTCGGCGCGGTCGATGTATTGTGTGCGGTGGATGAGCATGG